TGGGTTTTTTTCAGGATTTCCTCCCTGTAATTGTTATTTGTTCTTATGCCTCATCTCACTAAATCAGCTGAGTCCCCCCCCAAGCCAGCATTGAAAAAAATGAATGTTATTTCCCTTAAAATCCTTTTTTCCCCCCCTTTGAAAATCTCCAGTTCAGCGAGTGTGTAAAAAGGGACCCTCAGCTCTCAAATTCTTTGCCACGAAGGCATTAATGCATAGAAAGCCTCTGACCCTCTGGAGTTTGTTTCTAAATAGGGCACAGCTCAGAACATCTGAAGGTCTCTGGGGCTCACAGGAGGGAATCTCCTAATGATCTTAGTTACTTTTATACCTGCCTGAGACCAGAGTGCTCCAGTGCAGAGAGGCAACCCTGAGATCACCCAGTGAGCACCAGGAACTGGAGCAGTGAGAACTCGGGAGAGAAGGGGGCAAGAAGAAGATATACACCAAGAAAAGAAGTTGAAATAACCACACGCAGAATTAACATCGAATAAAGGCACAAGGCAGCCAGAAGAAAAAGAGCAAGGAGACAGCAACTAAAGGATATTACAAGCAAAGGAATTTGGGAAGGTTTTCCTTCTTTTCCTTCTGTTTTTGTTGGTTTGTTTGTTTTTTTAACCTGCAAAATGGGACAGCAGTTTACCAACGCTGAGGGGGAGCAAGGAGAGATCGACGTGGCAGAACTGCAGGAGTGGTACAAGAAGTTCGTGGTGGAATGTCCCAGTGGGACCCTCTTCATGCACGAGTTCAAGAGGTTCTTCGGGGTCCAGAACAACCAGGAGGCAGCAGAGTACGTGGAAAACATGTTCAGAGCTTTTGACAAGAACGGGGTAAGTGGTGAGGGGTTTTTACAGTTTGTGTCATGATTTGTGTGTCTTTTCCCGGGATTTGCAGGTGTTTCAGGGCAGTGCTCACCCTTCGTGGCACTGAGGCATGAGGAGGAGCACAGGCTGCACTGGCCTGGGAGGGACTTATCTTCTCCTAAATCTCTACCCAAATTAAGATCAGAGTGTCCCCTTAAAGGACTAAGGCTGGATTTAAAGGTTGAATTTTAGCGGTGTCACATTTTGAGACAGTGTTGTTGAAAGATCCTCAAACAGCCAAGGTTGCTACATGGAAAAATTATTTATCTGCTGTGATAAAGGGGGAATTACAGTGGAGGAAATTCCTGCTCAGGCTTGCTATATGTTTCTATATGTATATATATAGAGCATGAACAGGTGGTATATAACAAAATATTGATTTTAGCTTGGCTTTCCAAAAGCAAAGGAATGCTGAACAATTCTGACATTCTGGTTTTGATTCCCTTTTTGCTGTATTTGTCATCAGGCACCTGGAAAAAAGTGGGCTTTCTGGTTTAGTCACAGTTCAGACATACCCAGGCTCTGCTGCCAAAGGCAGCCTAACACTGGCCTGGGATATTTTAAGTACTTAAAATAATGTCACACAGTTGCTTTTCTCATCTAGACATGGGTAAGCAATGCTTGCCAAGTGGTTCAATTCTTTTTTCCTGAATCTTTTGATCCTATACCAGCTGTGGGGGTGTTTGTTGCTGTGTATTAATACAGGAGAAGGGGAGACAAGTCAGTCATCTCTGACAAACTGATTTCCCTCATGCTCCCTTTGAAACCAGTGGCAAAATCACAGTGAGGTGGCAACAAAAGTCAGTTTGTGAGAAAGGATCAAAAAAACCCCTATGGAATATGTGGGCAGGTCAGACTTGTCTCAGAATCTGAAGCTGGAAAAACCCACATTCCTGGGGAAAAAAAAGCAAAAAGAAAGAAAGAAAAGTTCAGGTCCCAAATTTTGTTATGAAAGTTATGCAGAGCAAACAATGTGCACAACAGATGAAGTCCCATGCCTAGTTTGTAGGAGCTTTCCTAACAAGACAAACCCCCCTGTCTTTAAGGGATGCTGATATATAAAGAGCACTAAATTTAGGCAGGGAGTTTGTTTGAATATCCTGAGGGTATCTAATCAGTTGATCAGGACCTAACGACCCAAAGGATTATTGGTAATACAATAAGAAGATGGAAACAACTTCTCAATTGTCTTTTCCTGCTCTCTGGGCAGCACAAGCAGTTGTTGCTCCCAGGGGCTGTGGAGCATTTTGGTGCCTGTGGGGAGAGGGGCTCACCCAGCCCAAAATCTCCCAGGGGTTTGCTGAGGGTGGGGAGGGCTGGGAGGTGCCAAAGGGGCCCTGGGGAGGGTGTGGATCTTTATGAGGACCATATTCTAGAGTGCCCTGAATCCCTTCAGGGTGAGGTTTTTAGGAGGATGAATATCCTGCTGTAAATCCTTTATTGGGGGTGTTCTTGCTGCCTTCTTCAGATTGGTGACATGTCCATTGTTGAATCCTTCCTCAGCTCAATCGAGATAAAACCAGACAGAAGGATGGGGGAAAGGGGTAATGGTTGGGTGCTCAGCAGTGAGGCAGCTGAGGTCATTGAGAATCTCTTCCCCAAAAAGCAAATGTCTCCTGCACTGATCCCCATCCTCAAGGCCAGGTTGGACAGTTTGGAGCAACTTGGGCTAGTTGAAGGTGTCCCTGCCCATGGCAGGGGGTGGAATGAGAATGAGCTTTAACGTCCCTTCCAACCCAAATCATTCTGTGATTCCCTGATCAGGTCATTTTGTGGGGCATTTAAATCTCTAATTTCTGCAGTTTGACAGGTGTGTCCCCCCCCTTATTGCACTGCTTTGCAGGAGAATTGCTTTGCTCCCCACTGTCACACTCAGAGGGGCTTGGCTGTGCCTACTGGTGCTGCTGAGCTGGCACAAACCTCCTTTGAAGTGCCAAATAAACAGCTGTCCCACTGGAATACCTTTTTGGCAACTTCAATCCAGCTTTTCTAGAGCTTTCAAAGCAGTTTTCTATCAACTCATACCCAGTTAAGTGTCATCCAGCTGCTGCTTTTCTGTCTCCCCAGGATAACACCATTGATTTTCTGGAATATGTAGCTGCCTTGAATCTTGTTTTGCGAGGCAAACTGGAGCACAAGCTGAGGTGGACGTTCAAAGTGTATGACAAGGATGGGAATGGCTGCATAGATAAACCTGAGCTGCTGGAAATCGTTGATGTAAGTAGGCATTGCTCCATCTCTTCTTTAAGCAATCACTGCTCTTTGGCAATGTAATGATGTGTGATAATCAGGTTTCAAGGATGGTGATGGAGGGAAAATGCCTGACCTTTGGTGAAAGGGTTCTGTGCTCAGTGGTTTGGAGCCTGGTGGGGTGTCTGAGGGGTCTGTTATAGCCCCTGTGGTCCAGGGATCCTGTCTCTCTGCCCTGCCTTTCCTTTCAACCCCTTCACACCAAGATTCATTGCACTGGAAGAGGGTTTCACCCCATGCCCCTTGTAGGAGCTGTTTTCTGCCTGAGAAGCTGGTGAGAACACACTGAGAGGCACAAATTAGTACAGAAATCCATTTTTAATGGTTCCTTCCTGGGTTTCTGCAGTTCTGCACTTAGATTTGATCAGTGACTGTGTGAAGGTTCTGACAGGAGGCACTTGGGTGATTCTGTGATTTGGTTAGCAAGGTGGGAGCTGGTCTCTTCTCCCAGGTAGCAAATGATAGAGCAGGAAGAACTCACCTCAAGCTGCACCAGGGGAGACTTATTAGATTGGTTATTAGAGACAATTTATTCACTGAAAGGGTTCTCTAGTGGTGAAGTCACCATCCCTGGAGGGATTTAAAAGCCATGTAGATGTGGCACTTGGGGACATGGTTTAGTGGTGAACAGTGCTGGGCTAACAGTTGGACTGAGTGATCTGGAAGGTCTTTTCCAACCTGAACCATCTCTGGGGCTCAGCAGACAGTCAGACACAGGGGGCCTGTGCTCTTACTTGATGTGAATTCCTTGGTGCTTGTGCTGGAGCACCTCAGGTGCTGCTCCCCCTGCACAGCAGGGCCTGGGAGGCTCAACCAGTGGTTACCACACATTCTAAGATCTCAGGGGAAATGCAATATCAAGAACACACCAGGAATTGAAGGTGTGGAAAGCAGATTTTGGCTGGGAAGCGTGAGCAGGTCGTTACCTGCAGCCCCAGGTGTGGGGGAATCGGGTCAGCCTGTCTGGGGCATATCCCATTTTAGTCTTGAGGTCAGCTAAGAACTGCAAGAACTGTGTAAGGCCACTGCTAATCCCCTCTCTGGGGTGACTTTAGACAAAACCCTTCAGCCTAAGGAGTAAAGGTGACAGTGAACAGGTGGCTGTCAAGGGAGGAGTAGATAAAATCTGACCCTTTCCCGTGGCAAAGTGGAACAGAAGCTGTGGGTCAAAACACGTGCTAATTAATACAGGCTTGATCTTGCAGCTTGGGCACAAGTTCCCTGGGAGAGAGAGGGCTGGGTAAGTCCAGCTGTGCCTGGCTTTGGATGTTAGCAAAAAAATCCTGGTAGAGTCAGATGACTCTCCCCTCTGTGAAACTCTCACTTTGTTCTTTGCAAAGGAACCCCCCGAGGTGTGACCAATACATGTGAGGAAAACAGGAGGGCAGCAGTTTCAAAGAGCAGATGAGGTAAATCTGCAGCCTGTGTGGGTGTAAGGTCAGAGGTTTCATTCCAGATCTGAGGCTGCTGAGTGGCAGAGCCTTCCAGAGAGGTCAAACCCACAGCCTTTGAAAAAGACCTTCACAGCGTTGGGATGAGAATGGAGTTCACTGCTTTTCACTTTGCAGTTCTTCTCTTAATTTGTGAACATCTTTTCAGTCTATCTACAGGCTGAAGAGGGCGTGTTGGTCGGACACAGAGGACAGGACCCCACTGCTCACCCCAGAGGAGGTTGTAGACAGGATATTTGAGTTAGTGGATGAGAATGGGGATGGTAAGTGATCAGTGGCACAAATTGCATTCATGTCTAATGAGAGGTACCTGTGCTGGGCAGGCTGGCTCTGACTGTGGCTCTCCAGAAATCCCTTGGGACTATTGTGTTACTCAGACACCCCAGGTTTGGGTTGTGCTCTGTTTGATAGAATCAAAAGTAACTTGGTGGAGGAGGGTGAAATAATTATTGTTATTTTAATACAGAGGAGTCACTGTTTTGTGTGGATTTTGATGCCACACAGATCTCATCCTCTGAAAGCCCCAACAGCCAGAGGGCAGGTCCCGGTCCCAGCACAAATAACCTGAATAAAGACAATGGTTCCAGACTGGGGCTTGCAGGATCAGACTTGCAGTCCTGGAGGAGCCTGGGGGAGCTACTGAGACATTTCATGTCTCTTGTTCTGATGGGGCAGGTGAATGCACTGGCCACAGCCTGTGGTTTGTCTGTCAGAGCCCTGGCCTGAACCAGGTGGGGGAATGAAGCAAGCTCTTGTCTGATTAGCATATTATCTGGAACAGGGATGGTATTTGCTTCCTGCCTTCTTCTTCTTCTCTTATCTCTCCCCTTTTGACTCTGCATCTTGTGTCCCCCTCATCCACAGGGCAGTTGTCCCTTGATGAGTTCATTGACGGAGCCAGGAAAGACAAGTGGGTGATGAAGATGTTGCAAATGGATGTGAACCCCGGGGGCTGGATCACTGAGCAGAGGAGAAAGAGTGCTGCACTTTGAGAAAATTCAGCTTTGGTACAGCTGACAGTGTGATGCTGACTCCAAGTGTGGCTCTTCCTCTAGGGTGGTAGGGACTTTCCCTTGTAATCCAATCTCAGCATCCAGATGAAAACTTGGATGGTTTAAGAAGCCTGTATCTCAACCTAAAACCCATGTGCTGCTGGTACCCAGAGACTATTTTTGGCCCATGAATAAGTCTTTCTGTGTGCACAGTACTGTGTTTGCCAGCTCTGGTTTTTGGTTACACCCCAAGGAGCAAACTTTTTTTTGTGGCTTCCTGCAGCAGATCCTGAGCAGGGTTTTAGTCTGAGGACAGACAGGATGGGGAGGTAAGAAAGCCAGGCAGTGGTCCTGGTGTTTGCATCACTCAGAGATACAACACATCAAACCACCAGTGGCACCAACAGAGGGGCTCTGGCAGGTGTGAGACATCCAGCATGTCTGGGGGTGTATTCTGTAGCCTATAATGTCAAATTAGTGAAGACCAGCAGATTGCTGAGTCCAAAAATGAGAATTGGACTAGAGCAGTAGCCAAGGCACCACACAGAGCTGAGGGAAACAACGCATGGGCTGGAGAGGGGGAGCAGCAACTCCTTCCCCTCCCTCCTGTGCACCAGAGTCTGCTCCTTCTGCCTGTCCAGAGGGTCTCTGAGGGGCTGGATAAATGTTGTTCTAAACACTGAGCAGCACAGGAATTGCTCCTCTTCAGGGCCCCATTTAGAGGACAGAAGGGCACAAGTGGGACTGGGCTCCTTTTGAGCCCTTGGTTTTTAGGGAATCATCACTCTGGAACAGCTTCTGCTCTGTGAAGGGTGGGTGAGCTCCAAGAGCTCCAGGGTTTTCACTGCACTGGGGAGAGTTTTGTGTGGAAGCAGAGATAAAGGGGAGAGCAGAGTTTTGGTTGGCAGTGTCTCTGCTGTGAGAGGGTTTGTGCTGCTTTATTGGCAGGACCACCCAATCCTAAATCACAGGATGGTTTGGGTTGGAAGGGACCTTAAAACTCCTCCAGTTCCAACCCCTTGTCACGGACAGGGATGCCACTCTCTAGATCAGGTTTCTCCAAGCCTTGTCCAACCTGGCCTTGAAAAGAATAGGAAAAAGTGACAAAAATCCGAGTTATGAAGCAGTACAGTGGTTTTACACTGGACTTAATTTAGCCACAGATACAAAATTCACACACGTTGCAGGCTGAGCTCTGCTGTTCTAACTCATATTTCTACATGTATGTATGTGGAAAAAGAATTTGGGTTGAATCAATATTTTGGGTCACCTTTATTGGATTTACTGGCTCATTTACAAGAAAAAATTAATCAGGAAAAAATAACATGAGTTTACCTGTTTTATTTTAATTTTCCCCTGGGGTCAGTGGACCAGGTCATACCAATGAAACGATTTACAACCCCTTTTTTGTGGCCTTTAATTAGGAGTGTACTATCTGTCGTTAGTTGATTAGTTTGCTGGTTTGTGGTCTTGTCAGTTTAGCCAGTGTTTAAATTCAGGGACATGAGGAAGTGTTCAGGATAAGGCACAATCAGTGCTAGAGTTCAAATCATAGAGATTTCCACTTCAAAATAGCCTTTCTAAGAGTTCTCTGTAAATACACACTAGTCTGTGCTGTGCTTACTTATCAGAGCTGATTAGACTCCTGGTTTATGCTGCTCTTTTCAGGCTCTTTCAAGTCAATAGTTTATCAGCCAAAGATCTGACAGAAAAATCTCACTTCTGACTCCAGAGCCTGCATGAAAACATTCACTTCTGTGAAATGTGAATGAAAACATTCAACTTGTGGAGAAATGTTTTCATTAGAGGATCCAAACCTCTAATTCCTTGAATTTCAGAGGATCCAAATCTCTAATTCCTTGAATTTCAGCATCTCAACCGACGTAACAGACTCTGCTTCTTGCCCAGTTTTGAAGTGGCTCTTTAGTTACTGTAGTTGCTGGGTGACTTCAATGCTTTAAATTCTCTAATTCTGCTCAGCCCCAGGCACTGGAGGGGCTGTTTGGTGGGCTCATGCCAGCACCCCTCTCCTGGGGTGCAGAGGGCACCCAGCACTGAGCACTTGTACAGCCCTTGGTAGGAATTTTCTAACACACGACTTGAATAAAGAAATATTTATTAAAACCCTTTGTTTCGTAGCGTTTCTTTCTTTGCTGAGCATGGAAGTGAAGACCTGTGTAAGCACCCAAGCCTCTGAGTGAAACTGTAGCCTGTGAGGCTGAAATATTGAATTTAGGGGAGGTGCTGGTGTGAGAGCTGGGTAAGACACAGATAAGGCAGAGATGACGACGCTGCTGCAGAGGCAGAGCAGGGAATGAGTCTCCTCTGTTTAACTTTCATGTGATGACAGCAAAAAGGACAACAATATGAGTAAAAAAAATGATATTTCTCAATGGAATTCGAAATGGGTGCTGAAAATAAAGTGAGCTGCCAGTGCTGCAGATGCCCCCACTGTGACCCTGCCAGGGCTGAAGCAGGAACTCTGAGGAATTTAGGGCTCAGGAGCTGGATGTTTCCACCTCCTCTGGCCTGGGCAGATCTGGGATGGACACAGTGGATATAGTTGTGTCAGTGCTGGCATAACCCAGTGGAAAATTGTCCCTCTTCCTGGTTGTGTAATCTTTTGTCAAGGAATCACACAGGCTGCTTTGGTCTTAGTCCTATTTTTAAATCCATAGGTATAAACACCCTGATCTCTTCCCAAACTCAACTCAACGTTTGCAGCAAGCTGTTGATGTCAGGCATTCTGCATAATCCGTTTTCCAGACTTACAGCCCGGCTAGAATTGGATTTGGCTGATCGGATTTCTTTCGGGGCTAAATTTGGCAGCGGGATGGCTTGGAAAAGGCAAATGCCATGTGATTTTTCTGGGCTACCATCTGCTCCCAATGCTTGATGCCCCTGAAGTTGAGCAGGACTCAAGGTGGAACAGTCAGGGTAGAAAGCTGGAAGGTGCATTCCTGGAGAAACTGCTGAGCAGCAGAAATAAAAGGCTGAGAGGGAAAGAGGATCATTGCACCCAGCTCTGTGCTTAGGCTGGCTCTGGGTCCCTAAAATGATGTTCAGAGAGGGAAGGCTCATCCCTGGGCAGCTGGGGCTCAGTGGCTGCCCAGAGGGAAGGTTTGTGTCCAGGTCATTCCCAAAGCACCTGTGTGCAGCTCTGCCAGTATGGAAAAATTCCTTAAAATTAATTTCTTACTTTCTTTTCTTTCTTTCTTTCTTTCTTTCTTTCTTTCTTTCTTTCTTTCTTTCTCTCTTTCTCTCTTTCTCTCTTTCT